GACAAAATGATTTATTGAATAGGACAGGAGAAGCTTCAGAACACATAAGCAATTTCTAGTAATATCTGTCTTCTAAATCACACTAATATGGAGAGCAGAATCCCTTTTGTGTACTTAAGGCAAGTAAATCTAGCTAACAATGTACTAAGTAATATATTTACAAAAAAAACATTTAATACCAACCTTTCAACCTGGTCCTTCCCCTTGTGTTGCAGTGAGATGCAGAAAACAGACATTGTTTGGGGCAATTATTTAAGACTTGCCAGAACAGTGTTCTCCATGAAAATACAAATTAAATACATACACACCACAGCCTGAGAAATGCTGTCCATGGTTTCAATACTTTCTACTTTAATAAATAAAGCCACATTCTAAAAAATGTGTAGCCCAGAACTTCCCTGTTTACTGTTTGATTTGTGACTGGACATTCCAGGTCTTAGAATTTTAGGTTCAATAGCCCATGAATCTGGAGGCTAATAGCAGCATCCCCTTTATTCGGAGGAGAAAATCACGTCATATTCTCTGAAATGTTGAAATGACACCTCCTATAACAAATCCTGATGGGAATATTAAAATGATTTTCTGGCATGCATAAGCAAGTATCAAAACACTCCATCTCCAAAATCTGATTGTACAAAACTGAGATTTCAGTTAAAAACAAAGAGAATCGTGAGCTGTTCATTGGTGGTTATCTAGTCAGTTAAAATTTCCATTTTGTTGACTCAATTTTTATTTTCACTTTTAGAGATAATAAAGGAAGACTCAGTCTTTAGAACCCTAAAATTTATCATTGTAATCAATTATAGTTACTACTCTCCATCTGCTGTTAGTTTTCTCCTTGCCCCGTAACAAGTTCCCAGAAATAGAGCAGCTTTAAACAAGACCCATTCAGTATCCCTGAGTTCTGTAGGGTAAGTGACTGGGGGCTGGACTGTGTTCTCTGCTAAGGGCATATGAGGCTGAAAAACCCACCTGCTTGCCATTCTAGGATCAAGGTCCCTGTTTCCTTGATGCCCATTTACCAGGGATCACTTTTAGCTCCTAGAAAACGTTCTTAGTTCCTCTGACTCCCCCTTTTGCCTACAGCCAGAGAAAATCCAGCTTTTAAGGGGCTCATGTGATTAGAATAGGCTCACCTAGATAATCTGTCTTTTAATTAACCCAGAGCCAACTGATTGGTAACCTTAATTGCATCAGCAAAATCCCTTTTGCCAGATAATTTAACATAATCAGGTATGTGATGTTTTATATTCACAGTCACTGATTGGGCTGGAAATCTTGGGTGTCATCTTTAAGATTCCACCTACAATTAAGTTCATCATATAATTTACCTTAAAACAGCTTCACTATAAAATATTGACTTACTATATTTGTCAAGTTTTCCTGTTTATTTAATGTTAATTTTATTCAAAACATTTTTGACTAGAGTAACAACACATTAAAAGTTAATGTGAAATTTTAAATGATGGGTAATTACTAAAAGCTAGAGTTATATTGTCCCAACACCTTAATCATTAAGTTAATCATCTTCATTTGTGTACTTTTATAAGTCTTGGATTTATCTCTTTTTCTATCTTAACAAATTTGACAATTCCCTCAAATAGTGTGGTTTGGTGACACCACATTGGACTGCGAGTCAGGAGACTGAAATCTTGCCTTAGCTCTGTACCAACAGACCAAATACTTGGGCAGTCACTTACCATACACTCACCGAGTTTTGGTCTTGAGGGGGAGTTTAATATTATCTATGCTAAAAAGCTACCTTGCTTTGAAATTATTGTACCAAATCTTTGCCAAACTTTATTTAGATTCCTCCTTATGGAATATCATTTGGTTTTTGAGCAGCTCCATTATTAAAACTAAAGACAAACCTTCTTTATATCAAACCAAAAGCTATATATTTCCAGTTTCAAGGATTCAAATAAATTATAGTACTTGAAATCATGCAGATTAACCCTTATCCTCTTGTTCTCCTGTCATATGAGAGTCCTTCAAATGTCTGAAGATTGCCACCATGTCCATTTTTCTAGATACACATCAGTTTGTTTTGTATTACATGAGTTTTAACTGAATGACAGACATTTCACTTGGTACTGAGTATCTAGAGATACATTAAGCTGCAGCCTTCAGGGAATTAACATTCAAATAGTTACCATGATATGATCACCCAAAATTCTTCTCTGTCAGTTCTCTTCTGTACCAGATCCAGGACAAGATACCATAACGCCCTTCCACCATCCTTGCTCTAGAGTCTACACAAAGAGATCTCTATATTCCATTATTAGCCCATATAAGACTTGATGATCATGTCTCAGCTTATTTATCTGTTAAATGAGTTAATCAGAAGCAGATTCCCAACGTTCTTTCTGGCTCTAGTATGCCAAATTCTAAGAAATCTGGACTAATCACATTCTAATTAAAGGTGGTCATCTGTATGACTATTTTCTATTTGTCAAAAGTCTGAGAAGCAATATAGCCTTGATGTAAACTTTAATAGAACCCCGGGAAACTATTTAGCACTTGCATTGTGTAATATGTTTCAATTCCCCAGTTATCATTCAAATATTCACCACGAGCCCCTTCAAGTTTAACTCGGGCTTTGATAGTCTATCCTCATAAGCTGTTAGGAACTCCACAAAAATAGAAAGCCCACATAGGCACTCATATCCAGTTCTTGCTTTTCTCCACAGTTATTCAAAGCCACTTCCTATCTTCTAACCTTTAATTTAACGGAGAAAGCCTGTCACAATAGAGTCATCTTTGTCCAGCTCTGCAGGCGGCTTCCCTTTGGGTCACAGAATGCCAAATTCTGTAACAGACAGGTACACTGGGTATTGTTGCTCTGGAATTGTACAAAAGACAGCCTATTTACCAGCTGGAAAAAAACGATGTGTGTTTACGCTCCCATCAAAGCCCTCTCTTTAACACTGCCATGACAAAGATGCTGCTTACAGCAATGAGGAGGGGCTCAAATGTTTCCAGCTGAAGAACTTTTTTTTTCATCTTTCATTCATAGAGTTTAAGAAAAATGAATAACACTTGCACGTGAACCCACAGATTACATAAGAGAGAATAACACACTGCAATCTAGCTCCTTTATAATCCAGGAAATGCGTTGGCTTTTATGTCACGAAAAGTCTTTGATTTTTTTTTTTTTTAAAGGAGGAATCACTGGGTCTTTCTTGATAATACAATAAAAGTTTTCAAAGATTTGCACAGATGCAAAGAGGCTCACCAGGGGCAAAGCTGGAAGAGGGAGCGTGGCTCTGAATGTCTGACCGATGTCGGGGCAAAGCGTGCCACACTTATAAATCGTATGCAGACCCAGAGACAGATTCCTGGGAAAATCAAGTGAAAAAAACCAACATACTTCCTGAAATGCCAGCCTCCTCAAAGATGCCTCTATCCCTCCCCCCACATCCTGAATATCCAGCCACCAAATTCTCCTCTATTGATCTTGAATCTTTCTTCGGCCTGTCTACCGTCACCAGCTAGCCTCAACCATGGGGCTCATTGCCATATCTTCCTCCTGAGTGTTCTGTTTGCAGTGTTCATGCCTCTGTCCCTGCTTCCCAGGGAAAAGCTCTTTTTCCAGAATGCGGATCTGATCACATTGATTTCCTGCTTCACACCTCTCTGTGTATCACTAATGCTACTGGAATGAATCCAGGTTCTTTACAGCCCTTGTGCTCAAAGACTCGCCATCGACCTCCATACTTTTATTCACCTCCATGCTTTTATTTGGTCACAATTCCTAATTGTCTGCTGATTCTATGGCCCCAATGCTCTCCCTCTACCTGGAGAGCCCTTCCTTGATCTAGCTGACACAAAGCTGTTTCTTACTAAGAGTCAGTGGACACCTTGGCTGAATTTGATTCCACGTTTGACTTACCTCTGCAGGTGTATGCGACTTCCCCCTCTCTCTACTACACCTTAGGGACACCTCAATGCTCATGGCTCATTCCTTGGGTTATTTGGTTACACATTTGTCTAAGAATTAAACAGGAAGAGGACAGGGGCTGGCATGCTTTCTTCATCTCTCCAACATGATGCTCGAGACTTTACGGAGCCATTAAATCTATTAATTAAATAACAAACTGTTTTAAACTCAGTAAAGTCAATGACAAACCTAATAAATCAATAAGGCTTAGCTGAAACTATATAACTGAGGAATGACAATACAGGAAGGGAGATTGGCAAATAATCAACAGTCCCCACTGATGATAGTGACTGACAGAGTCACTATCCCCAGTATTCCTTAAAATTTCAATAAGAGGATATATATGGTTGTTCTAAGGAAGTAGTTCCAAAATAGTGGTTTGAGTCTGAATCTGACCCATAATGTATTTCGTTTAATAGCATGTAAATTTACAATTTAAAAAATGTATTGCAGTATTTAAAAATCAAGGTGATAACATAAAATGCTGACTTCCCTGTCATGAGAACATTGGAGGGCTTGGTAATGTTAGACCAAAATGTTCTCATAATGACAATAAAAAGTAGCTTAAGAGGCAGTGAAGTCCTGGCTGACCTCTTTGCTTGGTCCAGGCTCTCCCAAGTCCTGTTCACCACAGTCCCCCAGCCTTATCACAAGATATTTTATATGCCAGAGATATGGGGTTTTGGCAAGGCCTGGACAATTTCTTCCAAAGATTCGATATTAGGTTGAAAGGCGAGCAAAACACAGATACTGACAATAAATGTGATTATACTTAGACCCACAGCTTAGGTATAGAATTTCAATCCATTTTCCAGAGAGGGAGGGGTGTCACATTAGGGTCTCTTGTCCAGGTGATCTTTTCAAAGCACCTTCTCCATATTATTTATGGCATCAAAAATTTCCTTGGATGGCGTAAGACAAGTTGCATTTCAAACTAAAGTAAAACGAAAGCTTATGATTGCACTCTGAAACTCACTAAGCATGCCCAGCTGGTTCAAAGCAAAGGGTGCTCCAGATACTTCCCAAGCTGACTGTCAAATGTTTTCACCTTCAGACTGACCTTGGATCGTGGAGGTGCCCGGATGTACCACTTGCAATCCACAGCCTCACTAGCAGAAGCTTTGCCTTCTTTCATAATTTGTATAGATTCCACAATTCCTTCAGGACCGCCCATCTCAAACTCACATGCTAAATAACGAAATGCCAAACACACAAAAATGGAGCTTGAATAATAAACCAAAAGTATATTTCAGAGCAGAAAACAAAGTCCTCTGAACATTATCGAGTATCTATTTTACCAACCTGGTAATGGTTTCAAAACTCCAAGGTCCTTAAAGTCAGGATCTTAAAAATTGAGAAAAAGATAATTAGTCTTATTTTGCATTTATTCCTTAAAATGATGGTGAGTAATATACCATTAAATTATTCAAGAATCTGCCAAAAAATATATTAAGAAAAATTAAGTGGTTAAACAAAATGCATGATAATGTTATGACTGAAATGTTAATTTATAAAACAGAATTATTACCACAGCATTTTTATCACCACACAAGAAGCCATTTTTAAAAACCTTCCAATGCCATTCATCATCTAGGCATCAAGTAAAAATATTATTCATTATCTCTAAGTCCATAATCAGACACCAGATGGTTTTGTAAAATGTATCCATAGGTAAGTCAAGCTTTGAGTAAACTTCCATCTATGACACATATAATCATCTTGTTGAATTTAACAGATTTTGTAAGTTGTTGAAACACAATTTTCTTTGTCACTGAAATACTGGAAGTACAAATTTCATCTGTGAAACTGAGGGCCTCCATCCCCCAGCAGAATGCGCTATCCTGTTTCCAGCAGACATTTTTCCTTAACTTTTTAGTCCATGCTAGCTTCCAAAGTGTTCCTCAGTAGACGCTGGGTCCTCTCAAGGCCAGCTCCCTCTCTGGATTTCCCCTCACCCCACCCCAGGTCCACGTATGTGTCCTTCTCTGCTCACGTACTTGGGGGAAGCTTGACTTATTGTGAGCCTCAGAAGCGTCCTAGGTGTTAAAAGCCATCATGGTGGGCTTGTTTCCATTTCCTGAAATTGATTTTGAGGTAGGTATGCAACCAGTGAAATGTAATGGTAAGCCATTTGAAGGACTTTTGAGAAAGTTTTCTTCAGTAATAAGAAGAAACAAGGCATATAGTTTTCTGGCTCCCTCTGTGATCTGGCTTGTATGGGGTACCTTTGGGATCATGCACAGTGGTCAGCTTATGATGTTGACAGGGACTAATGTGAGGAGATGCTAACTCTCAAGGGGGAGCAGAAGAGAAACCTGGAGAATGCAAATCCTTACGGACACCACTGGGGCACCATATTCAACTACCCTGTAGTCACATTTTCCTCCCCATTTTGCTTTTTGAAACAATGTATATCCTTATAATTTCAGTTACTTTGAATTGGATTTTCTTTTCCTTAAGGATAAAGGCATTAATGGCTATGAAAATTTTTCTTGGAGACACATGGCATCCAATTTAAAGGAGGACTGTGAAATTTAATTTCTTTATACTATTAAGGTATTGGCTATAAATTAAAAATCTTATAAAGTTAGAAATATGTTGAGAGACACTGCTCGACAGAAGTCTAAGGCTGAAATATGAAAGGGCAGCACTCTCAGGAGGCAATAATTTCTGGACATCAAGACTATGTGTGCATAGATGTCGATGTGTATCTAGGGGTACTCCTTTACATGTCCGTGTGCCTGAAGATGCCAAGCCCGTGATTTCCAGTGACTGTATCACTGTCCTTATTTTCATTACAGTTTTTTTTTCCCTTTTTTTCTTATACAATAATACATACTGATATATTGAAATTGAAAGGCCTGGATAAGCCAGGCCACAATTCAGTTAGGTCCACTACTTAGGTTCACTTTATTATAGAACACAATTGCCATGCGGTAATATATTTTGAATTGAGATACAAACTCTTTTGTATAATTATTTTGAAAACAGTTCTTTTACCTTTTAGAAGGAAGGAAGGAATGGTGGGTGGGGAGGAAGGGAGAAGGAAGGAAGGAAAAAAGGAAAGAAAAGGTAAAGAGTGAGGGAAGGAGGGAGGAAGAAATAACTGTATGCAATTTCCATGAAAGATGCAGAAATGAGGACCACATAGCTAATTTGGATCAGGATATCCCCAAGTGGATTTTTTTTTGCTTTATCTAAATTAATGGATATTTGGTAATTCTTTTAAATATATATATCATATATATACAATATATATCACATATATATGTTGATGTGTGTGTGTGTGTGTGTGTATATATATATATATATATATATATAATTTGCGAGAGGGAGAGAGAATCTCAAGCAGACTCCCTGCTGAGCAGAGAGCCCAACATAGTGCTTCATCTCATGACCCTGAGATCACAACCTGAGCAGAAATCAAGACACAGATGTTTAACCGACTGAGCTATCCAGGTACCCCTCAAAAAAGTGTATATTTAATACCTACTGTGTACAATAAAAGAACTATGCTTTGTACAGAATTACTCAGATTGTTTGTCACCACTAAGCAGTTTTCTTGGTATTGAAGAGACCCAATATTTCCCCCTCACTTTTACATCAAGCTTGCCCACCTCAGTGTTCCAGATTCTTTATTATTATGTCCCTTTCACTATTTTGCATAACATTTAATAATAGTCATTATAGGTTTGAATGTTTCAGCTGGCATGGCTGTTCCTATGATTCTTGTGGAAATGTAGCTGGTATTCCATTTTCTGGTTTGAAGGCTAACATTTGTCATTTTTATAACTTGTGCTAGACAATGTTGAGAGAAATGCCAGTTCTGGGAGTTGAAAATTTATTTTTGTCTTTGTATTAATGGTGAGAGCACTGATGGTTAAGAAAAGGCGGGGGGGAGAGAGGGAGAAATTGTTTCTGTACTTCCATTTGAACCACCAGTAATAGCACAGTCATAATAACAGATGGCCCTATGACCTGCAAAATAGAAAATAAACAATACAATAATTTTTTTTAAAGCAGCCTACACCAAATTTAAGAACACTAAGATTAGTGGGGTTTTTTGTTGTTGTTGTAGTTGTGTTTTTGTTTTTGTTTGGTTGTTGTTTTGTTGTTGTTTTGGGTTTTTTTGCCCCAGGTTGTTCGTGGGCGATGACAGAAATGATTATGCAGCAGCACAGTGAGGTTAGACTCAGTAAGCCACCTTCTACTCTAGACCTTCCCAAAATGTTCTCCACTAAGCAACCCAAATAAACTTTTTAAAAATATAAATCAAATCGTTATATTCACCTGGCTTGTCACTCCCCATAGCATAAAACCACAGATCTTTCTCAAGGACTGTAATTCTCTGTGTTCCTGCCCCAACCCCTGGCCTAATGTACCACAGGCTCTGGACTTTTCTGTCATCTCTCGAAACACGTGGAGCCTTCCTGTTCCTCCGGCACGTGAGGCTGTCCCTCAGCACTCAGAACCTGCTATCTGCTCCGTCTACCCTGCCCCGCCCCCCCTGCAGCTCTTTGCACAGCTGGATCCTTCCCCTTCTTCAGCTCATGACTGGAGTACAGTCTTCTCAAAAGACCTTCCTTCATGAGCCTCTCTAAAATAACTCTACCTCTTACTTTATTTTCTTCCTTCATGGTTTCTTTTATCAAAATCCACTATTGTTTTACTATTGGTTTACTTTCTAATTGGCCATTGACTCCCACCAGACTATAAGGAAGCACACTCTAAGGGATTTTTGTCTACCACTCCTTGTCTCCAAGACCTAGAATACCACTTGGACATAGTGGGAGCCCCATAAATACCTTTGAATTTAGCGTATTTTTCTGTGTATATAAAAAACACAGTGACTTTATACCAGGTTGATTTTCCTATACTGTTGATGTATTTACAACACATAAAACTACCCCTTTCCAAATCAGAGGCTCCCACAGTAAATTATCAAATTAGATTCTGTATTAAGGACTGATCTCTAATCGACAAAACCCGAGTCTCCTTCCTTCTGGGCACCAGCTGACTACACTCCCCAGCCCCCCTTACAGTTGTGGGTAGATGTGTGGCTGAGTTCTGCCCAGCGAAATGTGGACAGAATGACTGAACTTCACTTGAAGGTTGAGCCATAAAAACTACTTGAACCAATTCTCCACTCCCTCTTCCTCTCTTCCATGGTCCACCTCAAAAGCCATACACAGAAGACAGAACATCATCAGCCTCAGCTCCTAAATGAATATGTATGGTGGTTTCCAGACGCTACATGCTATTTGATGACATCATCACTACTATGGTTACTGAAATATTTGCTTGCATTTCCAAGAATATTCTTAAGGTAGTGAATTTAGGGTATAAATGATGTACATTTCCAGAGATTAATCCAGTTAATTTTTAATAATTTTACTGGACACTTACTGGCTTGGTTCAATTTTCCCTCTTGTAATCTCTGTAATCTCATTCTGTCCAAGACACTGTTATTATGAAATTTAGAGTTATATCTCTAACATACATGAAATCACAACCAGAATTTAGGCAATTTATGTCTTATTTTATAAGTATATACATATGTAAAATATTTTAAATTTTCTCCTAATTTTAAAATTTTCATCTAACTATGACTATTATGAAATTCCATAATATTTTCCCTGAAATAAAAGAAATATATCTGTAATGTATTCTTCTTCCTGTGCAGGGGAGACATTTGTTGGAGATGGAGGAGACTGACAGCCTCCTGTCTCCACCGTCCTTTCACAGTTTATTTCTAAAGCTGGAGAAAAGGAGACACTAATATTCCAAAGAGGCCTCTTACTCATGAAAAGGAGAAATCTACTCCCAATAAGATGGGAGAGCTGTCCATAAGAAATGAAAATACGACAAAAGCGATCATCCCTTCAGTTTTATAGATGGTAATAATTTGTTTTATTGTGATTTATTTCCTAGTAATTTTATTATGACAGTTTGATTGCAACATTATTTTGAGATAATTTTTAAGAAGTAATGAATACTTCAAATGCAGACATAATCAGTTCTTCAAAAGCTAAAAATCTTATATTACACTTTTGAAACTAAAACTGATAAAGTCCCTGAGGCATCCTACAAAGTAAGTTATTGTCCTGCGTTGGCTGGAGAAGCACACATGAGAGAGGCCAGACTAAGAAGGCAGTGCATGGCTGCCATTGCTGGATGCTTACTGGATGGGTAGTCAGAAAAAAAATGAAAAAACAACAAAAAACAGGAGTCTGCTGCTTTCCGGCCATACAGCAACTTGCTGATTTAAAGTTTTAGTTTTAAACAAGAAGAAAGACTTAATATCTTGTCTACAGAATTTTATTTTTATGTAACAAATAGATGTA